GTGCAGCTTCAGCATTCTCTCGAACCTTGGAAGGAATAACAAGTCCTGTCGTGAACGGCTTTGCACCTCTGGCCGGTCTCTCCCAACCAAAAGCAATCGAGTCGGCATGCTGCCTTTGTGTTTGGTCAGTCATCTTCCATCTTTTCTCCTATGCATTATCATAGAGTTCTTGGAGCGACTTCGCTCTCCCAGTGGCACCCAGTATTCCACTAGCACTTGATTGTAATTTTGCGAGTCTCTTTCAGCAACCACTCGAGAAAGAGCTTTGCCCACCCAGATAGGCACGCCGCTTGACAGATCATCTTTAGAGGGGCGGAGGATAAGAAAAGTGCCGATGTCAACATGCACAAGGGGGTCGAAACTTGTCTTCGGGCGATCTTTTCGTCGTCCAACGAACAAGGGTTCCCTCTCGTCGACGTCGTGTCTGGCAGGAGAAGGTTCTTGATCGGTTTTGAGCACCCGTGCTTTTGGCCAAAAGTTTTCTAGAGGTTCTGAGGACACTCCGCGGGCGACGATCTCGTCGCCATGTTCGATAACCTCCTCCCAGTAGCACAAAGCTCTTTCTCTCCTACTCACCTCATGCTCGTTGTAAGAGCACCATGTCGACCGCCTGCTCTCCAGCAACTCGTGGAATCGAATAACACCGTTTTTGCCATTCTCATAGTCATTTCGAGGAAGGGGTTGCACCGCAGGCGGGTCAAATGGGCACGAAGGACAGGCATAACTTTCATCAGGGTTTTGATTGAACCAATAAATCGGACCTTCCTCGGGCAACCAGTTGTCGTCATCGCAAAACTCCTTGTACAGCATGGCCAGATTATCTCCAACCATAAAAAATTTAAGCAAGTGCGGTTTTGAAATACCAGTAATGTTCGATGCAACGCACGGGTTTACGATACTAATCCAATCAGCCATTGTATCGACGAAAATGCATTTGGGAGGTTTTTTGTGAGATTGCTCTATGAGCCCGAATAACTCGTCCATAGTATAAGCGTCTAAATCTTTTAATTTCTTCGAGAAAATACTGAAGGTAGCATCAACGTCTGTATGGGTATGTCCCACCAGCATGAAACCTATTTCCACCTCTTCCAAAACTTTGAATATAACCAAGAGTGCAACCAGTGCATATATATACTTGTTTTTGTTTTCCCACCAACAATTATCTGCTTGAATGCGCAAAAAGGGTGGTAGTGATTTATCGCTCGCTTGAATTTCGACAAGGGTTCTCATAAGACAAGTAGCGACTGTGTTCGAATTATGTTTGAAATACAAAAACCACTTGTATACATATATACTAGGGTCTCTACCGTGTGCAATGACGCCTCTCAGATTTGTCTTCATCATCATCTCGTGCCTAAGTGTTTTCGAGTAGTTTGCCTGACCAATATGGGGGATAGTGTTCTTCTTCTGATCCATGCCATCAATGATGAGGCATAAATGCTCGTTCGGACGGACCATCGAATCAATTTTCGCTCTACTATAGTCCAATTTGTGTTCAACTTGCCTCCTTTGGTGAACTTTCATATCCTCTCGAGCTTGTTCCCGATCTCGAGGAATAGCAGCATATTGTACACGTTCCTTCAGCTCATGACATACGACACACTTAGTGAACGTGTTAGAGTGCGCGAGGGAAACGTGGAAGAAGTGTTTACGCCAAATTTTATAGAAGTTGGACTCAGACACGACACCGACGTCTGCGGCGAGAAAGTCCGATTTGATGGACTCATAAATTGATCTCTTCTTAAAAGCAGTCAGGAGTCGAAGTTTCGATATGGAAACCCCACCTACCGTAGCCACCTCATTCGGCATGCTATCCGCATGACACTCGATGAACGTTCTCATTCTTGCAAGCATGGCGACGGTTTTTTCGGTTGGCCGATATTTACCCGTCAGGCCATAATCGGCACTCACAAAGCCATTGTCAAAGCGTTTTTTGTAGCTGTAAAACGTATTACGTGAGACACCTGGTACATTGCAGTACGCTTTGACACACATCAAACGTTCCAACTCAACACGGCGGACACGTTGTTGTCCGCTCTCATTTACAGTGAAATCCTTTATACTTTTCATCCGCCACTCAGCTCGCTCTACCGGACTCTTACCGTACAGTCCTTGTCTAACCTTTCTCACTTCCTCAGGCGACACGTCCTAACAACAGCGAGCCTTGCAATATGCCATGCCGCGCACCATGAGCAACCTTTTTTCGGAGAGCATGTTTCTCGCTCTTTTATGATGTTCTTTCCTCCTAGCGTTCCTATTAGCCATGCTATACGTTCGTCTTTTGCTTGGCAGAGGTGCGGGCAAAATTTGTAGTATCGCCCTTCTCTCTACTTCACCCCCGCCAGACGCTTTCGACTCAGACTGGCTCTGAACTGGAATCGCATCATCACATCGCACTTGCGTTGGACTAGCTCGTGTCGTGGAAAGTTCCCTTGAAGAGTAGTCGGTGGCAACCAACTTCGTTCCACTAGAGCTAGCGCGAATTAAAGGTGCACTGGAAGAGGACTGTTGTCCAAACGAGTAATCAGTGGCCACCAACTTCTCACTCTCGTCATCAGATGTTGCAAAAGAAGCACCCATTGGCACGCAACTGCTGTGCGCCGAAGTTGTGGGTTGCAACTCTTTAGGAATGTGGAAGTCGATCCGGGAGGCAGACGGTTCTTCGCCTGCGGACGGTGTCGCCAATTCCGTAGGCAGTTGGATGCAACCTCAAAAGCTTTCACGAAAAGTGAGACTTCGTTTTCTGGGTCACGGCGAACTGTCCGAAGAGCTCATCAGGGCCAAGTCTAGGTGTTGTAGCTGGTAATGCAAGTCGATGGCCTGTTCAGTTTCCATAGCCCGGCACATGCGGCCGTTCGCTGAGCCGTCCTTGGAGCCGTCATGCGACTGTCGGTGTAGCGGATGCGATTACCGTCAGCAAAATCGATTACACTCTCCAGTGCGGATTGAACAGATCATTCGAATTGTCTTCACACCCGACGACAGAAACACACGCGACGGACCAGACCGCGGAAAAGAACAGATAGCATCACTCGTAACTCGAAAGTACGCCGTGATCTGAACTTGATGCTTGCGGATGGTGCCAGGCAGGGTTGTCGACCCCCGGCCCCGGGACCCCGCCGGGGTTCCGGGGTTCCGGGGGTCGGCACCCGTGACCCCGGCGCCCTGTAGGGGAAAAAAAAAAAAAAAAAAAAA